CACCATGTTTATAAGAGGAAAGGCTTTATTCACTGGCCAGGAAGCTTACAGCATAGAATTCCAAATGGTCACAATCTCTGACTGGCTTAGTCTTTCCCTTTTTATCTCCAGTCAAAAAGTTCCAACCCACAGGCAGCTTTTCCATTGGCCAGTTTGCTTTAAGTGGGAGGTGCTATTCCAACCCCCACAGAACTACAGCATTTCACAGAATTAGAAATTTCCAAGTTCCAGGAAGTGAAGTTTGCAAATTCCTAAGAGCTGAGTCACCATGGAGAGGAACCTGCAGGTGTATCCTTGTGGTCTCCTTGAGAAGACCTGTTCTTCTAGACCTCATGCTTCTTGGGTATCCTCTCATTGAGACTCCAAATTAAAATATATATGGAAGCTCAAAAGGGGAGGAATGAGAGGATACATGGAAAAAGTAAGGTCTAAGGAAGGGAACAGAGGTCTTCTCAAGGAGACTGCAAGGATACACCTGCAAAGTCTTCCCCGTGTTGACTCAGCTCTTAGGAATTTGTAATGACTTAACTTCCTGGGACCTGGAGTCTAACGCTTGCTTCTGCTTCTGTGAAAGCCCAGGATTCTGTAAAAGCCAGAGCCCACGTCTCCAACTTGATTCAAATTGACCACTGGGAAAGGTACCCATGGCTGGAACTTTTTGACTGGGGCTAAAAAGGAGAAGACTGAGGCAGTTGGGGAGCATGGCCATTTTGAATTCTGTGGCTCGCTCTGGTGGCTGAAGTAAAGCCCTTGGTCTTATAAACATGGTGTTTGGGTGCTATTTTCCGTTGGGCCTATTCTTCCTACAATGCGTGTAGGAAGAAAGAATTTACACAGCCTTCTCTTTCCTACAAGGGATTATGTTAACTCCTTAGTAAATTCATGGCTTATTAGATAACTCACATATCACATAGTCCGGTAATTTCCTCACTAGTAACAATTTCATTTTTCTTGTGTGTACCTATCTAGTCTAAATCCCAATCTCTTTTTCATCTAAGTGAGTCTTCATGACTGAGTATTGGAATGTGGATGCCCATGATGTACCTCATCTAGTTCTGCCTTGTCTGACAGACATATCATAAAATGTATATGATCTGTCAGGTCACCTTAGGTGCCATGCATTAAGTTGAGGATAGGGAGGACCTATTATTTCAGTAGTTTGGGTAAGGCTTAAAGTAGGGAAGGGTAACAAGTACAACCTTATGGATAGGACCCTTTGATACAGTGGAAAATACTTTGATTACTTTCAAATGTAAAAGTACAGTAAGAATTAATGTTATTTGTTGTACTCCTTATAAGTGATAGAGGGAGTTCTCTGAATCAGGAAGAGTTGAGTTAAGGAAGATACGTTAGATGTCCCACAACCCTAATGATCATTTTGGACTTCAGATCTCTTTGTTTTGATTTTGTTTATTGAAACTTGTGGCAAACAGAGGCAGCCCTTGGGAGTGGGGCCAAGGGCCCTTTCCATAATGTACATCACTGGTGGGAGACCATAGTCTGTGTTCTAATCATGAATGCACCCTTTCTCTTCCTGGCTGGCGGATGTCCTTACCAAGTCGTAGTGTTTTATTCCAGCAGATGGATGCCTTATCTAGCAATTTTGAAGGAGTTAATTTTCTCTCTCCTTACTTCTAAAGAGTGTTCAAGCTAATAAAGATAGGAAAGAGGGCAAGTATTCTTACCTGTTTTATTTATAATGTATCTCAAACACATGAAATGGTGCCTCTACATATTAGGCACTCCGATAGATTAAACGCACCATTATGTAGGTGCAATCTGAACATTTTTACTTTTCATGCTATAGTAATTTTTGAGAAGATTCATTTATTTAACTGTGAATCATTCATTCATTTATTTTATTTTATTTTATTTTACTTTTTTGAGACAGAGTCTCAAGCTGTTGCCCTTGGTAGAGTGCTGTGATGTCACAGCTCACAGCAACCTCAAACTCGTGGGCTTAAGCAATTCTCTTCCCTCCACCTCACAAGTAGCTGTGACTACAGGCACCCATCACAATGCCCAGCTATTTTTTGGTTGTAGTTTCATTGTTGTTTGGCAGGCCCCAGGTGGGATCGAACCCGATAGTTCTGCTGTATGTGGCTGGCACCCTAGCAACTGAACTACAGGTGTGGAGCCATCCTTTATTTTTAATAGTAGTTCCTCTCACTTTTACTTCCCAAATCATCCTTCTGAAAATTCAACAGAGGAAGGTTTTTTATTTTGTCATATTCAAGAATCGAGCCCTTTGGAGAAATATCTGACTCCAAAATGAGGACCATAGACACTGTCAACTGACCTCCTGCCTCTATATTTGTCTTTCCTAATATTGTTTCTCTTATATTAGAGGTCTCCCTGTAAACCCAGCAGAAATAATACATATATTTTGTCCTTTTACCAGGGCAGCTTTATACATTCCATAATGGGAGAGAAACAAGTTTGTTTTCTTTTTAGAGTGCACAGTGTCCACGTTCCTAGCCTGCCCAGCCAACTGGCCATTTTAGTGATCTACTTATAAGGAACACTGGCAGAATAGTGTAATTAGCTTAATCATAACCTGATGACCTTTGATATGTAATTAATAACCTAAGATACTAGTTGGCCTGTCTTCATGGCAAAAGAAATCTGTAGGATAAACTTGAATGATCAGACGTTCTGGAGCTAAATGACAAATTTGGGATGTGGAATATCAGTAGTAATGATGAGTAATTCCCATCCTTATTTGGATACTTACTTACCAAATGTTAGTTGCTGATGCATAAGTTCTTAATAATATGATACTCTCTTAAATGGCAGGGTGAAAGGCCACAAGGTTTTGAAAAAAAGAAACATTCTTTAACAAAAGAAGTGAGATGCAGATTTTGCACACATGTTCAGCATACGTTGTCAGTAAAGTTTAGTCCTCTATTGCTTAATGTTCAGATGCACCCAGTTTAATGTCTCAACCCATGTACAAATCTGCTACTTCTCACTGGGGCTACCTATTGCTCAAACTTCCCCCTCATTGATGTAACCTGCCTGACACTTGTGGCATGAATCTGCAAACCCCACCTCAATCCATTTCTCGTGAGGTAATTTGTCCCCTCTGGAAACATTTCTTCTTCAATCTGGACATAGTAGCTTATGCATGTAATCCCAGCACTTGGGGAGGCCCTGGCAAGAGGATTGCTTGAAAATTTCATGCAGACTTAAGAAGAATGTATATACTGGTTGTATTGAGTGACCTAACATCTATAGAGAACACTTCACTCAATATCAGCTTAGACAACATAATGAGACCCTACCTACAAAAACATCTAAAAATTATCTGGGCTTGGTGGCATGTGTATGTAGTCTTTGCTACTCAGGAGTTTGAGGCAGGAGTATCTCTTGAGCCCAGTAGTTTGAGGTTGCAGTGAGCTATGATGACATTGCTGCACTCTACCTTTGGAGACAGAGTGATACCTGTGTTATAAAACAGAATGATAGCTGTCATCCTTTTTTTTGAGATAGTCTCACCATGTTGCCCTCAGTAAAGTGCTGTGGTGTCACACTACTCCACCTCCAACTCTTGGGGTTAAGCCATTTTCTTGCCTAAGCCTCCCAAGTAGCTGGGGCTATAGGCGCCTGCCACAACTGTTGCTGCTAGGGTCTCACAGAGAAGCAATGTCTTGAAGAATAAGACCCGCAATTGAAATTGTATTGTAAATAAAGGGGACCATTGCTCTCTATGGTGAATGGCAAGCTTCTTTATTTTCTCCTGGCTTAGTTAGCCAGCTCTGCATGTACGCACTGTATATCAATGACTTCATTGTAATCCCTGTGCACATGCGTGTTGTACAGCAATGACTTCATTGGTATTCATTACAATCCATAATCCATTTCATGACTAAACATCTTGTGACTATCTCGTGAGCAGATCCTCCCTAGTAATCTACAGATTAACTGATATCACTTTATATAACATAATCCTTTGAACATGATCCTTTGAACATAATCCTTTTAACATAATCCTCCTAACAATACATGACTTAATGGAGAACATGTTGTTAGCCATTACTTCTTTGTTTTTATCTGATGAAGCCTGAGACTCTGGGGGAGAAAGATAGATTGAGTATCCGCCCTACTGGCCTCACCATGTGGAGGCAGTTACTTTAATCTTTAAGCAAGACATAGTAAGAAAATTCCTAAGACATACAGAAACTAGTTTGCAAGCCTCTGCTTGCATGTGGGCCTTAAGTCAGGGGGTTTTACACCCGCAATCAATCAGGCTGACCTTAGGTCGGGGGTTTTTATGACCGCAGCCAACCCGGCCATATAGGATTCTGCCTCACTTTCTGACAAGTATGCCTGCACAAAGTCTTTTCACTGCTCTCTCTCAAACAGCTTTTTTGGCCAGAGGCATATAGGCCTTTTGCCTATACACAACACTTGGGTTTTTTGGTTGTAATTGTTGTTTGGCAGGTCTGGGCTGTGTTCAAACCGCCAGCTTCCATGTATGTGGCTGGTGTCCTAGCTGCTGAGGGACAGGTGCCAAGTGGCCATCATCTTTTTAATTCCTCTGTTAACAGTAACAATCATGGACCCAAAGAGTCTTATCTCCTCTCTCACCTCATTTTATCTTTTACCACTTTTCTATCTTATACTGTTTTGTGATAAATATTATTATCTTTAATAATGTATAAAACAATGGACAAGACAGAATATGAAAAAAGAAATAGAGAATGTGAACTACAATATAAACTAATAGACCTAACATCTGTGCAGAACACTTCATTCAACACCACCACCATGCACATTCTTCTCAAGTGTGCACAAAACATTCTTTATGAAAGACCATAGTGTTAGGCCAGTTTAAGTTTAGGCCTAACAGTTAGGCCTCATTTAAGTTTAAATGAGTTTTAAAAGTTAAAGTCATATGAAATATCTTCTAAAGTTAAAACAATGAAAACAGAAGTCAATAAGAGAAGAAAACTGGATAATTCACAAATATGCAACAATTAAATATTATTTATTTATTTTTTAATATGGAACACTTCATGAATTTCATGTCACCCTTGTGCAGGGGCTATGCTAATCTTCTCTGTATTGTTCCAATTTTAGTATATATGCTGCCAAAGCAAGCACAGAACTAAATATTTTTTTTTTTTTTTTTTTGAGACAGAGCCTCAAGCTGTCCCCCTGGGCAGAGTGCCATGGCATTACAGCTCACAGCAACCTCCAACTCCTGGGCTCAAGCGAGTCTCCTGCCTCTGCTTCCCAAGTAGCTGGGACCACAGGTGCCCGCCACAACGCCCGGCTATTTTTTGGTTGCAGTCGTCATTGTTGTTTGGCGGGTCTGGGCTGGGGATTCGAACCTGCCACCTTAGGTGTACGTGGCTGGCGCCTTAGCCGGTTGAGCTATAGGCGCCGAGCCAGAACTAAATATTTTTTAAAAACCCAAAACGTCAAGGAAAAATATCCTGAGTGACATGATAAAATACTTCGGAGATGAATGAAAATGAGCACAACATACCAAAATGTATGAGTGTAACTAAAGGAGTGCTTAGGAATTTATAGCTGAAGACACTTTTCATTATTTAAAAAGATCTGAAGCTGGGCATGGTGGCTGACATCTGTCATCCAAGTGACTCAGGAAGCTAAGGTGGCAGAATCATATAAGCCCAGGAGTTCAAGATAAGTCTGGGCAACATAGCAAGAATTTACTTCCAAACCCATGAAAAAATTAAATGGGCATTGTGGCTCACACCTATATCCTAGCTTTTCAAGAGGCTGAAATAGAAGGATCAGATGAGTCCAACAATTTGAGGCTACAATGAGCTTTGATCATTCCACTATACTTCAGCCTTGGAAAGAAAAAATCCTCTCTGGAAAAAAAAAAATTAAGAAATAAAAATAGCTTCAATTAATAACCTAACTGCATACCTTAAGGGACTAGATCAGTGGTTCTCAACATTCCTAATGCTGTGACTCTTTAATACAGTTCTTGGGGGTCGCATCCCACAGGTTGAGAACTGCTGGACTAGACTAATTAAGTGCAAACTAAAACCAAAGCTAGTAGATGAAGAAAATAATGATTGGAGTAGAATGATTATAGACTACAATAGAAACAGGTTTGGCACCCATAGCTCAGTGGTTATGGTGCCAGCCACATCCACCAGGGCTGATGGGTTTGAGCCTGTCCTGGGCCTGCTAAAGAACAATGACAACTACAATAAAAAAATAAAAATAGTGCTCACTTTGGCAGCACATATACTAAAATTGGAACCATACAGAGAAGATTAGCCTGGCCTGTGCACAACGATGATGTGCAAATTTGTGAAGCATTCCCCATTTTTTTTGGTATAAAAATTGTTTTTGTTTTTTTTTTAATTTTTTTTTCTAGAGACAGAGTCTCACTTTATTGCCCTTGGTAGAGTGCTGTGGCGTCTCAGCTCACAGGAACCAACTCCTGGGCTTAGGGCATTCCCTTGCCTTAGCTTCCTTAGTAGCTGGGACTACAGGCACCTGCCACAATGCCTGGCTATTTTTTGTTGCAGTTTGACCAGGGCCAGGTTTGAACCCACCACCTTTGGTATATGGAACTGGTGCCCTATTCACTGAGCCGTAGCAGGGCATTGTGAGGGGTTCCTGTAGTCCCAGATACTTGGGAGGCTGAGGCAATAGAATCACTTAAGCCCAAGAGTTGGAGATTGCTGTGAGCTGTGACGTCAAGGCACTTTAATGAGATATAGTGAGACTTGGACTAAAACAAACAAACAAACTAAACAGAAAGTTGGTTCTTTGGAAATATTGACAGAATTGACAAACCTTTAAGTAGCCTACCCAGGAAAAAATTTAAATGCTCAAATTATAGAATTAGAAATGAAACTGGGACACTATCATCAAGCTTACAGAAATAAAAAGGGTTATAAACACAGTGGAAGTTGAAGAACTCACATTTCCAAATTTCAAAACTTGTTACAAAGCTACAGTAATCAAAACAGTATTGTAGTGGCATATGGATAATCATACAGATTCATGAAATAGAATTGGGAACTCATAAATAACCCATACATCTATGTTCAGTGAGTTTCCATAGTGTGCCAACAGTGTTCAGTTGCGAAAAAGAGTTCCTCTTTTCTGGGACTACTGCACAAAATCCACATGCAAAAGAATAAAATCAGATTATCTCATACCACATACAAAAACTCATTGAAAATATATTAAACACCTAACTATAAGAGCTAGAAATATAAAGCTCCCAGGAAAAAGTTTATTGGTAAATTTTTGACCTTGAATTTGGCCATCGGTGTTTAGATATGGCACCAATAATGCAACAACAAAAAATTGGTAAATTGGAAATCAAAATTAAAACTTCTGGTTACCAAAGGGCATTATAAAGAAAGTGAAAAGACAGCAAAGAACAGTATAAATGACAAAGGACATTATAAAGAAAGTGAAAATGCCAACACACATCACAGGAGAAAAAATTGCAAATCTTATATATTTTATAGAGATTGTCATTTAGCATATATGAATATGCCTCAACAACAACAAGAGAAAAGACACTCCAAAAATTGTTAAAGGGCTTGGTACCTGTAGCTCAGCAGCTAGGGCCACAGCAACATACACTGGAGCTGGTGGGTTTGATCCCAACTTGGGCCTGCCAAACAACAATGACAACAACAACAAAAATAGCCAGGAACAACAACAACAAAAATAGCCATGTGTTGTGGCAGGTGCCTGAAGTCCCAGCTACTTGTGAGGCTGAGGCAAGAGAATGGCTTAAGCCCAATAGTTTGAGGTTGCTGTGAGCTCTGATGCCATAGCACTCTACAGAGGGCTACATGGTGAGACTCTGTCTAAAAAAAAAAAGTAAAGGTTTAAATAGACACTTTCCGGCTCGGCACCTGTGGCTCAAGCGGCTAAGGCACCGGCCACATACACCTAAGGTGGCGGGTTCAAATCCCCAGCCTGGGCCCGCCAAACAACAATGATGGCTGCAACCAAAAAATGGCCAGGTGTTGTGGTGGGCGCCTGTGGTCCCAGCTACTTGGGAGGCGGAGGCAGGAGACTCGCTTGAGCCCAGGAGTTGGAGGTTGCTGTGAGCATGATGCCATGGCACTCTACCCAGGGGGATAGCTTGAGGCTCTGTCTCAAAAAAAAAAAATATAGACACTTTCCCAAGAAGATATATAAATGGCCTATAAGCACATTAAAAGATGCTTAATGACATTAGCCATTAGTGAAATGCAAATTAAGTCTACAATGACATATCACTTCATGCCCATGAGCATGGCTGTAATTTAAAAAAACAAAAAACAAAATAACAACAGTTGAGAAGGATGTGCAACATTGTTAATATAAGCAACCTTGTTTAGGTACTATATAAATAAAGCTGTTCACATGGTTTGGGTGCTGGCTGCAGTAATCAGCTGCTCCAGACCTCCCAATCCCATCCTTATCTCTTGTGTGATCTTTGTCTCTCGTGTGTTTTATTCTTCCTCCCCCACCATTCCCTTTGGTATGTTTACTCTTCGTGCTGGGGCTTGTGAGAGGTGGCACCTGATCAGGGGCCACCTGATCATGGGATAGTAGGTGCATGCAGGTGAGGAGATCCCCTGTGCGAAGAAAAGTGAAAGTGCACAGTTTGTGAGTAAATTTATTTTCAGGGGTAATCAATCGTTGGCAGTATAAAATATGAGCAGTTTCTCCACTTTATTCAAGAAATTTGTTGTTGGTTTCCTGAGGAAGGCACTGTTAATATTGCTACCTGGGACAGAGAGGGGGAGAAATTGCGTTCTTATTATACAGCCAATGGACCTTCTAATGTCCTTATTGATGCTTTCTTATTTTGGGGACTAGTTAGAGACTGTTTAGATCCTAATCATAAACAGATGTGTTCCCTTTTTCAGACAGTGTTTGTCCTTCTGCTCTGGCAGAAAGACCCAAGTATGACAAACCCCTCCTCCTTGAATCTCAACAAGCCTTACAAAATGAGGAATGAAATTATGAGGAGCATTCCTCTTCTGTTTCAGATAAAGACCCTGATCCCTCTGGACTACTGGCTATGGCTGGACTTTATGTCTCCTCTCCATCTCAGCCTGCACTGTGTTGCCCACTTCCTGGCCCCTCCTTCTAAGTTTCTATAACCATGGCCTCCTTTTGTTATGTCCTGGCAGAATTCCAAATCACCTTTGCAACTGACTTTAGAACAATCTCATGCACAAGATTTTTTAGATGGCTTTTCCTGTTTCCCAGTTATTGAAATTGTTGATCAATAGGGCAACCAAGCCTGCCAGTATCAGCCACTTTCTTTTAAAACTCTTAGAAAGCTGAAACTGGCTTGTGCACATTATGGCCCAACTGCTCCACTTACTTTTGCCTTAGTGGATAATTTGTTTAATGATACTCTCCCTCCTAATGATTAGAAGTCTATTGCAAGAGCATGTCTTTCTAATGGTGATTACTTACTATAAAAATCAAACTGAGCTGATCCTGCTATAGAACAGGCAGAATGTAATCGGCAATAAAATACCCCTTTCACTGCAGATGTTCTTTTGGGAGAAGAACCTCAAGTTCTCTCTGGCAGCTTAATTATATTATCCTGACACCCAGCTTCCTGGTGAATGTGGAACATTCCTCTTCAGTTTTTCCTACATTCCTCCATGTTTTTTTCCTTTTCTCTATGCCTTTTCTCAGGATGCCTGCTTACTTGACCATGTTCAAAACTGGAATGACCTCTTTGAAGCCTTTAAAGATCTGTGGCTACAAGGCACTTTTTAAGACTTTCCTCCTGAAGACACTCATTTTTTCCTCTTCCTACTTATTTTCCTTCTGGCTATCCCACCTGCCAATCTGGCCTTTCTTCCCTCTTCATCAACCTTGATGATAGAACCACTAGTCATAACCTATCCACTCTCCCATCTTCCTTATAGGCAGTCCATGCCACTCCTCAGTCCACAGGAAGCAGCCAAAGAGACGCCACATCCATCACCCCACCTCCCTGTAATAGATAAAAAAAAAAAGAAAACCGCAAAGGTCTAAAATACTTATTAGTGATTTTTTTTTTTTAATCTTGCTTTCTGCTTTCAGGAGTTAATACTTTTTGTTTTAATTTGATAATTGGGTATGGTTAATTTATATTGGGCTTAAATTGTGGAACTTTAATGTTTACTGTAATTTAGTCTTAAAATATTTTTTACTTAGTAACCAGTGCTTTTAATAATGTGGTTGCTGGCAGCAAACCAGCAACTATTTAGAAATGTCATAGAACTTCATTCTTTGACTATCAGGAAAGTAATTCAGATTCTACTCTAAAAGCATCTTCACATATCAAAAGATTTAGACAGGGATCTATGTGGTGAACGTATCTGCACTTAGCATAAACCTGATTTACAGTAATCTTTAAGTATTTCTGAAAAATATGGTATTGCTATGTAAAGTCATTGCTTTGTTAAATTTTCTGGCCAAGTTGTTAATGAAAAAATATGGATTTGAACATTTTTAAGCTAAATAATTTATAGTGTTACAGAAATGGTTTGGTGGCTCTTGTTTACTGGGTGTAATTTTCCAATGCACTGATGTGAAAAGGTAGAATATCTAAACTAACTTAGTTATCCAATGAGTGATGTATTTACTGTGATGAAAATGAGACAGATGCCATCACACCTTTGTGAATCAGCTGGAGTGTTTTCACTAATAAACTTTATGTAGCAGGTGTGCATTCATTACAAATATTTGTATCTGCCAAGGTGAAACCCCTTTAAGGAATGAGTTTTATCTTGTATCTTAAAGTGGATACAAGTGTATGTTTAAACTGCAAGATTTTTACTTGCTAGAGAATCTGTTTTAATATAGTGGTTTAGCCTTTGATTATTTATAGTTTTATAAATATTAGAATCAATTTCTCCTTAAGGTGGTAAGGATTTTTTGACTCTTGTGCACATAAAATTGAGTTGAAGTTTACTGTGGCTCTTTTTCTTTATACACATTTTTAGTTCAAGTTTCATATGGTAACTGCATCCTGTTGAAACAAATATAATCTAAATTTTTGAAACTGTGTGCTATTCTCTAAAAGTAAGAATAACAAAGTCAAATATAATGAGGATCACAAAGTTCAGTGAAACTCTTATGGTCCAAATCTTCTTGATATTGTGAATTGTTCCCCTTCTAGTTTAGTTTCTTCTGAACTTTTTATACTTAACTGACAGTTACCTTTTAAGATTTTCATACATTAAGATTAAAATTGGGCCTCTACTGTGACAATTCCTATTTCCTCTTGTATTTTAAGTGCAAACTAACATATATGTGACCTTTAGCAGCAAGTAGTACAGACCCAATTTATTATGACCTT